CTGTACTCAAATAAGATGTTTTATTTGTTTTGTTAAAACTCAATAAAACTTTATTTAAAAAAAATGGATACTCAGTTTTGATAAGGGACATTTCCCTTTAGCTGTTTGATAACATATTTTGATCAGAATAATTATTATGGTTTGGCTAAAATGAAACATATGGGAGAATATAATCTTTATAGTCTAAAAGGCTTTTATAGCAATGGTGGACCTCTCAATAAAGATAAGATAGATCAACAAATAGATGACTAACTACCATGGCTTTTTTGGTACCAATTTAAATCTCTTCTGGACAATAGAAATATTAGACCCTCAGCAATACAGCCTTACATCAATTTTGAGAATGTAATACTCCATTATTTAGGAAAACCAAATAATTTTAAAAATGTACAAGTTATTACTGCAATTAGAAATAGGAAATTTACCATATGGATTAAAGGAAACTTGGGGTGCTGATCTTGATAATTTCACGCAGGAGACAAATTGGTTTGTGTGTGTATGTGTGTGTGTGTGTATCAAACAATTGTCTATTTAATTATAATAGCCAAAACAATAATTGTGAAACACTGGAACACTTTATATAATATAAAAACTTAGTTGTGGATTTTTGCCTCTTCAATTGCCACGTTAGAAAAGAATTGCTGATAAATTTAAAGTAGTGAGATTTCAGAAGCAGGAACCACAATTTTACCAAACTTGGTAGGATTTTATGATTTACCTTAAGAACAATAGACTATAATCTGATGTATCCCTTACAGCATGTTGAATTATAGTACCTGACTTTTTATTTACATGGTATTTTTGTACAGTTTTATATTTCTTTGTTTTTAGATATCATGGAATTATGTTAATTCAACTACCTGATACTGTAAACAAAATAAAGACAAAAAAGGGACAAAAAAGAAAAAGTATTTTCCTCTTCCACTTCTTTGAGATGCAATTGTGTGTCATATTGTATATAATTAACACTGTAAATAGTACAACATAGAGTGATTTTGATATAAAATTTGCAGAAATTTCTTCAAAAGCTACATTGGTAAGAATTTGACTTCTTAAGGCATAGTTTAGATGGCAAAACCTTCACCACCATCCTTCTCGTCCTGAGTCATTCAGCTTGTTGTGCATTCTGGAAGCAAAACAAATAGTTGGTAGATAAGAGAGAGATTGCCTTCTGCAAATTTGTAGCCAATCATGCAAGTTATTTTGTATGTGCTTTATCCTTGAACTTTTGGAACAGCGTTCAAAACATTTTCTCAAAATATCCAATGCTTTTATGACAAAATGCAGCTGTCTGCTATCACCCTGAATTTGTAGATAGACACAGTGTTCTTTTAGCTAATAAAATAAGCTTGGAAAAGAGATAGTCTTTTCACAAACTTAAGAGGCCTCATTAGCTTCTTTAGACATAATCATAGGTAGACTATACCTATTGAGGTGATAATAACAGCATCTTCCAGGTTTACCTGAATTTTCTCTAGGATCCCTGGGATCATTACACTTTTAAGCTTTAAAGGGAAAGAGGTACATTGGAAGGGACAGTAGCAACTTGTCAGCCTGGAGATTGGTGAGGGTAGTCCTTTGACTTTGGCAGAAAAATCAAACCTCTTATGTCCATAATTGCCATGGTACTTGAGGCTAGGAATTGGTGAAAGGTCTGCTTTTTTTGATTAAGCCCCCAGCCTCAAAGCCTACATTTGGTACGGAATATCCATGCCTCCTATCTGCTACCAGGAGTAGACAGCACCCTATTACTTGAAACTTAGTAACTTCCAATGGGATGGCTAAATTGGAATAGGTAGGTATATCTGTAAGCCTGAATGGGTCAGGTAATTTTATCCTAGAATATGATAGTACTCAGAGATTCTACCTGAAATCTGTGCACCTGATGGGTCAGATAGCATGCCATTTCATGCATTTTTTGAGCACTGAGTATATGCCTAATACATTCTGTGGGATCTTCTTGAATCACATGTACACTGAGGTGATTTATTTCTTTCAGAAAGTCATGGAGGATAGTGTGATTATCATCTTTTTGCCTATCTTCACCCTCAGCAATATTGGGACTAGAAGCTTTGCCAATAGTGATTCAAAATCAATTGAGCCAGTTTTAATTTAAGAATTAAAAATCTATCCTGGGGTATGAGAGGGAAAGAAAGGAAAATACAGTCAGGCTTGGACAATGCTGTTATTATTGCCTATTTCCAGTGGTGTAATGCTGCCAGTTTAACAACCGGTTCGGTGAGTACGCGCTTCATGTGACGTATTGTGACTTTTCCCCCTTCTCTAAACCGGGTGTGGGCGTGGCCAGTGTGTAACACATTTAGCCTGCGGGCCACAAGTTTGACAGCCCTGGCTTAGAGTATTATCTAGGCCCACATGCTTTATAGTTTGTGAACAAGACAGAATTTTAAGCTATCTTGGAACTAGAGTTAGAGCTAATAACTCTTGCATACTTATGGAGAAATAATTTAAAAACAGCAAAGAAATTTTAGATAAAACACTTAAATATTTTTTCCTGCTTTGCTCTCCAAAGGATTTGGGCTCTGTATAATCTGTAGTTTAATTAGCCCCAATTTAACATAACATGATATGGAAATATTCCTAATGAACCAAATTTCTCCAAGTATCTTAAAATAAACAAGAAACTCCAAAATATGCCCTGGTGCAAACATTTTATTGACTCACTTAGACATGTTCATTCATACAATTCTGATGCAAATACCATCAGCTTGCCACAAAGCATTAAAGCACAATAAATCCAATATTTAAACATTTACAGCATTTCATTTCTGTAATTTCTTCTCTATCTAAACAAGTATCCGAGCAGCAGACAAGTATTAAGAAAAATGGAGGACCCATCCAGTAAAAATGCAGATATTTATATTAACTGTACTTCCAGGAATACAAATGAGAAAAATAGTTTACTCGAAGAAAATGAGACTCAAGTCTTTGGATTTAAAAACAAAAACAATCACCCCCCAAAACAGCATTTAAGAAGACCTGGCCTTCTTGGCATTTCTGGGAAGAGTCTTGTAAACACTTTGCAAACATGAAAAAGGTAAGCCTAGAAGATATTGCTAGTTAGTGATTGGCAGTTTTGAGGGGAGACAAGCAAGGGAAAGTTGTATCTGGTGTAAAGCAACACCATAAAGCTGCCAGCATTTCTATTAAATTGAATATAATACCTGTGCTGGCAAAAGTACTGGGACTGTAAGTCCAATATTACCAGCCTGAATTTCTAGAAAGACTCTTTTAGCGAAGACACTTTTTAGCAAATACAAGGACTGATAGCACTGATCCCAAAGTGGCTATACTAAGTAAGCCTACTAAGAAATGCACTGAACTCTTACACCAGATGTTTCAAGGCAGGAACATACACAAACAAAATATTATGTCTCTTAACAGTTTGTAAGGCTATAAAACCTGTTAATGCCAAAAGCCCGAGACAAATGCCAATTTCAGGAAGCCCACCTACTTGGCAAAGGACCATATTTGCTCTGTTTATTTTGCATGCTAATATTTCTTACAGCACCTCTACTCTTAGGCATTCTGCATTTCTTTGCCAATCTTGTAGCTGAGGATTTTGTTCCAATCAATTTTAGTACGGGTGACTGGTAGCTGGCGACGCAAGGCTTTGAATGTGGTATCTGACATTGTCTGATAATTTTCACTGATTGCTGTCTGCAAATAATTCAGTGGGTTAGAGGTTAGAATGTCAAAATGTACATATTTATAATGTATACTGATTAACTACTGACAGATTTTAACCAATCCTAGTGTGCACATTGATTAGTCAAAGCAAGATAAAAGTACATTCTCTTTACTTCCTCAGTGCCTGCTCTGCTTAGATAGATCATTTCCCCATGCAGAAAAAAGAGCGCTGGTATACCCTTCCAAATAATCCCATGCTCAAAGAGAGGCAGAGCGCTTCTGCCTGAATTGAGAAAAGATTAACCTATGGATGGCACGGTACATTTACTTTTTCTAAAGAACCATCATCAAATCCTGTTATCTTCTTCCTATGACCAATCTGCTCCCACTATAAGTAGTGGATTAATCTTTTGAGCACTTTAGAATTATTTATTAAGCAAAATCCTATATCAATCTTCAGTAAAAGTCATGTAATAAATAAATGGACCCAGGAGGTGATATTTCTCAAATCACAGGGAGGGGGGAAAAAGGGGTCTCCCTATTGAAAAAATAAACGTTTTCTATTATCAATGTTGCTTTGAACAGTAATCATAGCCCCCAAATGCAGTCCTATTTTTTTCAACAATGTGTTGCAAAGTTAAAAACACATTTTGTTTAACAAATAAATGCCACAGCGAAAAACTACTTGTGAGTCCTGTGCAAGCTACCTTCAATTTATTATGTAAGAAATATGAAATATACATATAATAAAATGAATGAAAAGTCTTCTACTTTGCAAAGTATTTCAAATCTGGACATGGTTGGAAGGAATTAAAAAGAATCATGCCTATTCTAAATGGGGGTGGTGGGTTAGAAATAGAAAGCATAATCTAGACAGATAACAGAGAATCAGAGTTGGAAGGGACCTTGTAGGTCATCTAGCCCAAGCGGGAGACCCTATACCATTTCTGACAAATGGAAGTTGATTGTTCTCACTGTCAGAAAGCTTCCCCTTATTTCTAACTTAAATCTCTCCTTGTTCAGTTTCCATCCATTATGGCCTTCAGGTGCTTTAGAAAATAGCTTGATCCCTTCCTTCCTGTGGCAGCCCCTCAAATATTGGAAGACTGCTATCATGTCTCCCCTGGTCCTTCTCTTCAGTAGACTAGCCATGCCCAGTTCCTGTAACTTTTCTTCATATGTTTTGGTCTCGAGTCCCCTAATCATCCTGGTTGCTCTTCTCTGTACTTTTAGTCTCAACATGTTTTTTTATAGTGTGGTGACCAAAATTGGATACAGTACTCTAAGTGTCATCTTATTAAGACTTTATAGAGTGGTATTAGTACTTCCCTTGATCTTGACTGTATCCCTCTGTTAATACAACTTAGGATTGCATTAGCTTTTTTAGCGGTGGCTGCACACTGCTGGCTCATATTTAGCTGATTGTCCACTAAGACTCCAAGATCCCTCTCACAGTTACTGCTATTGAGCCTGGTTTCACCCAGTCTATATGTGTACTTTTGTTTTTTCTTACCTAAGTGTAGGACTTAATGTGACAGATGTGGTGACTATTCAATAAGGCATGGGACTGTTGTCTATGAATGTTGGAGGATGGCAGGCCAAAAGAATGATTTTAAATGCCTGGTCCTAGAAGACAGTAGAGATATCTGAAATCTGGTAGAACTTGATTAGAAGAGGCTTTCATGACTAATACTGTAAAGGAAGCTAGTAGGGTCAGGAAAGTTCTTTGAAAGTAAAAGACCTATTCCCAATAGAGGAAATAAAGAGGAGCACAAATTCTGCCAAAATAAACGCAAAGAGACAGTAAAGGAGGCAAAAAGGAAATTTGAAGAGCACATGGCCCAAACTGTGAGAATTGTAATAGAAAATGAGGAGTCCTAGATGCTCTCTTGAGCTTTGTTGCTTTCTTGAAGACACTTCATTATCCCCAAACTAGGTAACATCATCAGTGCTTGTGCATTCACAATGCATTTCAACCCTGAGCTACAAATATTCTTTTATTAGTAATAGAAAATTAAAGATAAAATTACCAAACATTTGGAGACACAATCCAACATAATTTCACTAAGTCTTAGGACTGGTACTTTTTAATGAACTGGAATTGGGTGTGATTAGTAAAATAAACATTTGATTATTTAGATAAACTGCTTATTTTATTTAGAAAAGTCATGTTAATGAGCAAGATGCAGCTCTAATTAACTGTACCAGACTTAAGAACTTTATTAAAGGACAGCTGTATTGAAACTTTGAATCAATCAATCTGAGTGATTGTTGTAGTATGTGTCAATTGTTGTAGTGCATACTGTTCCTTACTGTAGTAATTGTATCCATTGTGGACAAAAATTTGGGGAAGGAAAGAATTAAGTTCTATGTCTGCCCCTAACACAGAACTCTAAAACAAATAGAATGTGATTGAAAATGCATTTTTATATTATTATTATTAATAGTAATAGTTCATTTTATCTTCTTACCTGATACTCATTTTCTGCCTGTTCTATGATTTTAATAAATTCTTTTGCTGTTTGGACATCGTTCTACAAAAACAGAATGCAAATGTTAGTCTTTCACACTGTATGAGTCTTTAGGATATTTTTTAATGTTTTATAAGTTCAATTTTATGGCATAATGAATACATATTCCTAAATTTTCAATTGAACTTGGTGTCTGTCTTAGGTTTTGGATGAAAATTGTAAATTTAGGTTGGACTGATATACATTGCATAATTGTTAATCATTATTAAATAATAGATTTGTGTTTGGTAAGTGTCTAGATGAAAATCAATTTTGCCAATTTCTCACAGAATAACTATAGATTTATAAATCTAGCTTTTCCTCCTCCAAAATTGTCCTAGTTCAGGGATCCTGTAGGAGCAAAGAAAGATACGAAGGAAATGTTTTATAAACTGAAATCAATTCCTCGATGTGGATGTAAGCCCATTTGTGTGTTTTGAAATTTTTCTTATTCTAATTTTTCTTCAAAAGCTCAAGGCAACTTAAATGGGGATATTTTATCATTATAACAGGCATGATATTCCGCTCTGAAAAAAAAATCGGGGCCGGCCAAAAGAGACCCCTCGCCGCGTGCCCGGGGAGCGCCCGCTGCTTTCCCTCGCCAGGGCCGGGCGGTGGCGTGTTCCACGGAGGCTGGTCTGTGGCTGGCCCAGCTCCCTTTTCCTGCCGCTCAGCGGCCTCCGCTCGCACCGCCCGGGCTCCGCTCAGGTATCCGGCTGGGGCTGTCAGGAGTTGCTACCGCCGGCGCAGCTCCACACGGCTCCAGTCCCACGTTGCCTCGGGAAGGGAAAGGCAAAACCAGGAGCCGCTGCTGCCGTTGCAAAGCGCTGCCGCGGCTCTTCCTTTTTGCCTTTCCCTTCCTGAGGCAACGCGGGACTGGAGGGGAGGGGAAGGGCCTCCGAGGGGAGGGGAAGGAGGAGAAGAAGGGGTGGGGGGAAAGGGGGAGGGATTCCAAAAAAAAAATCGGAATTCCGATTTTAATCGGAAGAATATCATGCCTGTTATAACTACATAATAACACATCAGATTGTATTGTCATCAGTGATTGCATGCCCTCTGTAGATGTCATATGCTAAATAAAATAAAAAACATCAGGTAGTTTCAGACTGGGCACAGATATCCAGTAAGTTTCCATGGGTAAAAGTAATTTAGCTTTGAATTTGATTTCTCTCAGTCCACTAACATCCACAATCTTAACCTTCTGACTCACTCTTTGACACAATGATCACCAACAGTATACTATCAAATGATCAAGTATGCCATAATTAACATGTTTCTGACTGCCTTATTATTCTTCAGTAATTTTTTTCATAAAATGTGTTCATGGTACAAGTGCAGTTGCTGTTAAAGTTTTCTGTTTTAGTTTTTCTGAAAATACTTATTTGATGTCTTTTAGCATTTGCCAAAAATATGAGTACCACATGAATATGAGTAATCTACAAATCAGTATCAACAATAGATCCCTCCTGAAGAAGGCCTATTCACAAATATAGGAAATATGCCTCATGTAATTTAATGGTAGAGACAGCACAGCTTAAACCTGACTCCATATAGGCTGATAAATTGACAATATAGTATTTCATCTACTATGTATCTACATACATAGATGTTATTATTGCAGACTCAATTTGGGGTGGGGGGGTATAGCTGGAAAACCAATAGTTTTTGCTTAGAGGTAGTCCTTGACTTATGACCATAATTGAGCCCAAAATTTCTACTGCTAAGCAAGGCAGTTGCTAAATGACTCATACCCCATTCAACAACCTTTTTGCTATGGTTGTTAAGTGCATCACTACAGTTAAGTGAATCCCGCAGTTAAGCAAATCTGGCTTTCCCCATTGACTTTGCTTGTCAATGGAGCTCCAAGGTTACAACAATCCCAGGACCCTAGGATGCTGCAACCATTGTAAATGCATACTAGTCCCAAGCCCCCAAGTTTGATCATGTGAGTATGGGGATGCTGCAATGGTCATAAGTGGGAAAACTGGTCATAAGTCACTTTTTCAGTGCTGTTATAAGTTTGAATTGTTGTTAAACAAATGGTTGTAAATTGAGGACTATCTGTATACAATATTCTTCAAAAGACAGTACATAAACAAAGGTTTAATTCTCTGATGAAGTGAAAAGTCACTTTTGAAATGCAGAAATTACTTTACGTTCTGGATACATCCTGCACAGCACTTTCTCCCTAAGCAAAATGCTATCCCCTACTGAATAACTCATAACTCCTATCTTTGAAAGAATTACATGTAAGAAAGACAGCAAAATAATGATATATTAAGTAAACGTCCTCACTTACCAAAACTGCTACAGACTCCTGTATGTCTTTGTGGCTAACCAGCTGCACATTACCATCTTCATAATAATGCACCTATATTAAAATGAAACCATTGACGATTTAAATGCTTTGTACTAAATATTGTACAGGGACAAAGCCTTCCTTCCTTCTTAATTTAAAGAGAAAAGCCTTTTCCTTGATGCTTCTGATCAAGTTTTGACAAAGCTAAATGGCCTTATTTGAAGCTATGTATACTACGGATACAGGATATTTTTACTTATAAAAATACCTTTTTACCTTTTTAAAAATGTTCATCAATTTATATTGAATGTACTTTTAAAAATTTGCTCATTATTTATAATTATTCAGTTAAATTGCACACAATAGTTACACAAATCCATATTGTGCAACTATCTTAATTTATATAATAAATTTTAGCAATAAGAAAGTACAAAGCAAATTTATTTCTCAAGGATATTACTATCTTTAAATATATTGGGCCATTTCTAAATAATGCTAGGGAAGCAGTAACAAATTTATAGCAGTTCTTCTTTTCTAGTCCTTCTTTTCATTAAATTAGACATACCCAATTCCAGTAGGCAGTTGTGTAATTTCCTATTTGAGAAAATCAAATTTTGGAAGGAGTTTATTGGTAGTTTCTGTATAGCTTAACAAACCTGGATCTTGAGCACTGCAATCACTTGAGCTGTAGGTGGAGTAATGGTAAATTTCCATTCTGATCTCCAGCGTCCATTCCTACCAAAACCAGAAACTATATTATTTATAGTAATGGGAGAATGGGCTGAAAATTATTCCCTTTAAATTGTTTTCAGGTTAATAAAATGCCATTCCTTTCAAGGCAGCATTTCCTAGTCTCTACACATTTACTATATCAAGCTCTTTGCCATTAAATGGCATAGGTAGGGCTAAGAACATAATTTTAAATGCTTCCAAAAGCGATGAGAATTTGGTGAAGTCATAAGTTTCTGGCTATTTTTCAAATTGCATTGTTTATCTATTCAGGCACCAGAAAATGTGTCATAATACCCAGTATTAAAAATATAACCATATAAGAATTATCCAGTCTATAGATCCTCTTACAAAGAAGAATTGCAGTTGTTTCTATTTATTATAATAAAACAGGCATCAAAAACAATGTATATGTGCTCTTTTGGGATCAGTACTCAGTGATTTACCTGTATCATTTTAATTGTAAATAATCACTAAATGAGACAGCATTATCTGTATGTAATTTTGTCTCATTTACACAAGGATATGCAATCCTGAGATTCTATATGTGCATATACAGACAGTCTTCAACTTAAGACTGGTCACCTAGCAACTATCTGAAGTTACAACAGACCCCCCCAAAAGCCATTTACATCCCAGATTCCAAGTTCCGACATCTCCCTTCCCATGGCCATGTGACCGCATTTTGGACACTCGGCAACTTAGAACTGTTTGCAGCACCCCAGAGTTACCTAACCATGATTTTATGCCCTTATCAGAAATCAGTATCTACTACTGATTTCCAGCAAAAAAAAAATACCCCATAGGAAGCAATGGGTTTGCTTAATCTCCATGTTTGTTTTACAAGTGCCACGTTTGCTTAACGGCCACCACAAAAAAGTCATAAAATCAGTCATGGTCATGTGACCCACTTATGACATGATTGTCATGACTTACAATCTAAATTGCAGGTTCAATTATTGTTGTAAACCTGTATTCAAAGGTATGGTTTGTAAGTTTGTATAAAAATATTTAATATAATTTTGTATATGACACCCCCAAAAGATGAATTTCCTCTGAGAAATTTAAAGTTCTAAGAAATATGAACAATTAATTGAAAGCATATAGTTTTTTTTTAAATGGGAGTTGTATGCTGAGTATAAATGAAAGAATTAGAAATATGCTTACCAAAAGTTTTTGGGTTGAAACTGGTGACTCTCAATGCAAGCTATAACTGTTGGCTGTCCATCTATAGTTTTACTATAAACCTATTTTTAAAGAAAAATATTTACATTGATAAAAAATAAATGCATTGCAAATCCTATTCTCCTTAGCTGCTATGGAAATGTGAAATACTTTTCTGTATCAACATGGCCCTCACCTGAAAAAGTTACATGTCTTTGCTTTGTGGGGCAATTTATAAATGAATATATTTTTATAGATCTGATTCCAACTCTGAAAAAGCAAGCTATTAAAAACTCTATCAGTCAAAATACTTTTTTACAATAATTAATATAAGAATAAAGTTTTAGCATAGGAAGAGTTATATACTTAACAGTACAAAAGCCATGTGGATAATGATCTTTCACATAAGCTCTTAATGCATTATCACAGGCATCCCTCCATGACTTTAGTGATGCATCTATGTCTTCTGGTTGAGGATCGCTTGCTTCCTTCCTCAAATGATCAAATTTAAAGGAAATCTTGTTCCTTGGGTCTAAAAATCGGCTGTTACCAAGGTCACCATGTTCTGTGATTAAGACCTAACAAGAAAAAAAAGAAAAGAAACCCATAACAATTTTGTTGTCTGCTTCACATAAACCTTAAAACAAAATAAATATTTTACTGTTAAAAAAATATCTGAAATTCCACATGTTATTCAATGATAGACATAATTTACTGTGATAGTCCAGGCAGAAATTGCTATTGTTCAAACAGGATTGCTATTAAATTCCTACCATCTCTATGACAGATTAATTTTTATGATCCTGTAAGATAAAAACTTAAAAAGAACAGAGATTCCAAATTGAAAACATCTGTTCAGCACAATTTAATTTACATCAAGTCATCACTTCTGGGATACATGATTCTCTGCTACTTTGCAAATGAAAGAACCATAGAAATACTATGCAACTGAATTCCTAAACGAATTCAGAACACAGTATCTCTTTCCTTAAGAACTATAAAAATGAATTTGTTCAATGTCTGATTATACAATTTTTCAAGGAAAATATTCCTTGAAAGATTTAATTTCTGTTTGAACAGGAAACATTCTATTCTTTTCAACTCAAGTTAAATAAATAATACATTAATAATATATGACCAAACCTCCCATTTGCCCTCATGATAATTGTTATTCTATGCCCAGGTCTCATGTTGCAGTTACAGTACATCACCTTGCTATGCTCATTTTATTGTTACTGTTTCTAAATTTAATTGTCAGGCCTGAAGAGACTTTAGGATAGTGCTGCATCCCTACAGCAGTTTATTCAAAATGCTGCAGCCATTAAGCATAAGCAATTGCCATAATATATTGCTATCACTATCATGAATACTCAATATGACACTGAGAAAGAGATTGTAAAGAATATTGGAGGGCAAAAGATACCTAAGCTAAGTTTATACTTACAGAAAAGCACATATCTGTTAGTTCTCTATGTGCTGGTTCTTCAACGTTCTCCTAGTTCTTAACAGAATACCACATGTTGATATATAGTATTAAAAAAGATTCCATCATAACCTGACACAAGTAAATAACATGAACAACACTTTCCAGTTCAGCATTATATAACTAAGTCAAGATTCTTTATAACAAGGTTAGAAAAGTATGAGGATCATAGCTGCTGGAATTATTTTAACTTCTTTAATAATAGTTCTGCTCAGGATCAGGAGACCATGAAACTGAGACATCTCTGATATTTTTTTTCCCAGCAGACTCTAGCTTGCTTTTGAATATGATCTTTTTTTTCCCCTGGCTTCTCGCTTCATTGCTAAATTTACTTTCAGAAAGTTATTCTAATGAATGAGTCTATAGCCATTAGTTCTATCCAACATTTTGTTGGCTTGCAAACATAAACAAGTGGCAGGAACCAGCAAATAAAATTTATAGAAAGTGTTACTTTCTATACATATTTCTATAGAAAGATTTTACTATGTAATTAATCCCAAAATTCAATAAGCAAACACTACAGTAGATGACAAGAATAATTATAATTTACCTGATCATCATATCCTTCTATCTTCACTGGAGTGAACTGATCCATGTTATACTGTGCAAATGCACTGCCAGAAACAGATAACAAAATATTAGCTTCTGATTCTATAGAAAAATAGGCACATAACCCTACACTCTAGGGTAGGAGAGGAAAAGAAAACAATGAGTAAAACATATAAATATATTTTGGATTACAAATTAAAAGAAGAAATAGTCACAGAATCTATGATAATTTGGGCTAAAAATGTGGGTCATAGTATTGAATTAGATAAATGGGAATACATCTGCCAAACAAATTACAAATTAACCATGTCAGTCTCGTATAAAGAAAACTTATATAAAATGGTTCATCGCTGGCACTTAACCTTCTGCGAGACTGGCTAAGATGTTCCCCAACCTACCACCCAACTGTTGGAAATGTAACTACGCACAAGGAACATATTTTCACATGTGGTGGACTTGCCCATGTGCTCAGAAGTTTTGGAGAAATATTAGAAATTGGATTTTAAATATAACAAAACAAAATTTAAAACTTGAACCCGAAACCTTTCTGCTAAGTATGATAAATTTAAACATGGAGAAAAAATATCAATATTTAATTTTGCACATCATAACTGTGGCCAGAATAACCTACGCACAAAACTGGAAACTGTCTTTCATTCCTTCAGAGGATATGGTAATTAAAAAAATACATGAATGTGCTGAGATGGATAGCCTAACCAAATTGTTAAAAAATAAACAAGATAGTGACTATTATGAAATATGGAACATTTGGTATGATTGGTTAAAGAAAAGGTAATATTTGATATTTGGATAAGTTATGGAAATGACAGAAGACGTGCATTTAATTATAAACTATATAGAGAAATTAAAACGTTAAAAGAACGAAGGAGTTATTGTAACAAGGCAGATCACGTCAATGATAAAGATAAAGAAAAAAAAATTAACCATTGCTCAATATACGCTGTAAAATGTGTGTGTGTGTATTTGTTAAGTTTTCGCGGGTACTTACATGTATGGTATTCAGCTTTGTTCGGGTATTTTCCCATGTCATTATAGTTGTGCTTTTAAAGTTGTAGCAATGTTTCGGCAGAATCTCATCTGCCATCATCAGACGAACACAAACAAAACCCTACACTCTTTAAAGTATTTATAAAACTATGGTCTTGAATTAATATTTTGTCACTATGGGTAAAAAAATTACATTAAAACTTTAGTTTTACATCAACAGAACAATTTCAAAAACAATTACACTTTCATGATACTTACTGGGCTGCCCCTTCCCTGAGGAGATTGTCATTGTTGAGCAGCAAACGAACATCTAAGGAAGAAAATATTCAGATAGTTATAGCTTTGAAGCAATGTCAATTGGCATTCAGATTCATGTCTGAGTAAAAAATTGTTTAGCTATATTGTTCTTAACAGGTACTGCTGTTCTTGGTAGGAACTGATAAGGTTCTCTTAGAAACATATGAGAACTTAACATAAATATAGAAAGGATATTAAAAGAAAATATTGCATCATTGCACCCAACAAGAGAAATTGGAAAAGTTTCAATAATTATTTTCTATTATTTTAAATCAAATGGCTTTTTAGAAACTAGCAAACACAGAGCTTTCTAGAAGATGATTGGTTTGTACGGTAAATATTTTTTTATTACTGTAATGTATTATTACTGACATCGTGTCCTTGCTTTGATATTGTTTTAATTATTTTAAACAACTAGGAGTCAATGAAGGTTACATAGAATATAAATAATAAAAATAAAATAAAGGCTGTAAATTTTTACTAACAAGACAGAGAAACATCAATAACCTTTTGTTCTTTTACTTACCATTAAACACTTCATTGAATTCCCCTGGAGGTGCATGAGTGATAAATTTTGCAGCAATACGAACCTGTAGAGAAAATTATGTGAGCTTAGCAAGTCAGGTTTTACTGTAGTTTTTAAAATGATATTTAGTTTTAATTGTAGAACGGAGAGTCATAACATACAAACCAAAGAATAAAGTATGCTCCTGTAGCCTATGAAAAATCCTCACTTGTTCCACCCTAGAAATCTTAATTCTCTTGTTTTCATCTCTTCTATAACATGTCTCATCAAAGTGTCAACTGGAATATTATTAGATGAGAAAAGAGATATATTCTAATGTATTGATGAAGTCTTTTAACAGTCATGTGTATGAATAAAATTTTTCAACTGCCCACAAAAGTATATATGCTGCTGAAATACTCTTATATAGCTTTATTGGACAGTTTGATATACAAGAATTTCATTGATCTATGTGTCATAATTTTCTCTAAATCTATGGAAATCAGTTTTTAATATCACCAAAACTAACACCCAATATTTAATATCCACATATAACAAATTTTTTTCATCATGCACAAACGAAGATTCTGAACTAAGTGGACACTAGAATGGGCGTTGGTATAATTACCTGAGAACGCCCTTCTATCTATGCTGCTAGAGAGTCCAGGATGGGTTAGACTCCTCCTGATGATGTCATCGAGCTGAGTCTGTCTTATATAAAAGGCCAGCCTCTGAGAGTCTCCCCAGCTTTGGCGAAGATACTTGACAGACTTTAGTGGGTGTCTCTGAAAGCCAAACAGAACCTTAAACATCGAACATACCTTACCAGGACCAGATGAAATAAAGGGTGGGGTTGGATTCTCTAGCAGCATAGATAGAAAGGGCGTTCTCAGGTAATTATACCAACAACCATTCTCCTCCATGCTGGTGCGAGAGTCCAGGATGGGCCATACCAAAGCCTGCATGTCCACGGCAGGGTCCTCATCCAGCTGATCAATCCAATTGCGGAACCACTCTCTGAAGTACCCGTCTGCCAAAGGCTGCACTCGCAGAGGAAAAGGAATCTAGATGGTAATGTCTGATGAAGGGTGACGGAGATGCCCATGTTGCTGCTCTGCAAATTTCTTCCAGGGGTGCCTGGGTGACCCAGGCAGCTGAAGTCACGGCACTTCCGGTAGAGTGTGCTGACAGACCCTTGGGCACCGGGAGAGCTGTAGACTTGTAGCCCTGTGCAATACACGCTCTGATCCACCTACTTAAGGTGGGAGGGGAACCTTTGTTCCCCAAGTGCAATGGGGAAAAGGATACAAACATAGCTTCAGTTCTTCTAAAGGCAGAACTGAGCTTGAAGTAAATTCTAAGTGTTCTCCTAACATCTAAGGTATGCCACTTACGTTCTAAGTCGTGGCGCGGCAAGCGCAGAAATCTGGCAACACGATGTCCTGCGACCTGTGGAACCAGGTATTAACCTTTGGGATGAAGATGGGATCTAAACGGAGAACAACTCTATTATCATGAAAGGTGCATAGATCATGTCTGACTGAAAGAGCAGCCAGCTCAGTCACCCTTCTAGCAGATATGATTGCTATAAGAAAAACCACCTTCAGAGTCAAGAATTGAAGAGACACTGACCGAAGGGGTTCGAAGGGAGGTTCCGTCAGGGCCTGGGGCACCTTCGGAAGGTCCCAAGAGAGATACCTGTGTACAACTGGAGGGTGGAGGATGGAAGCCCCTTTCAAGAATCTCCAGACAGAAGGGTGGTGAGACAAGGCAGGAAAGGTTTCTCAGGAGAGAACTGAGGAAAGGGCTGCTACCTGGCGACGTAGGGTGTTAGGTGCTAAACCCTTCTCTAGTCCATCTTGAAGGAAACATAATATCTCTGCTACTTAAGATGAGGTAGGATTGAGGCCCTCCTTCAAACACCATTGACAAAAACCCCTCTAGGTAGCATCATAGATGCATGTCGTAGATGGTTTACAAGATGCCTGGATAATGAGGATAACCCTCTCTGGGAGATTAGCCTCTCTCAAATGTTGACGCTCAAGCGCCACATGATCAGTTTGAACCACTGGGGATCTGGGTGGAGCAAGGCTCCCTGATGGAGTGAGATTTTGTTGGCTGGGATCCCCCAGGGAGTGGCTATAGACAGGTTCACCAGGTCTGCAAACCAGGGCCTCCTGGGCCAATGGGGGGGGGGGGCAGGAGAATTAGCTCTGCCCGTTCCTCCAGCATCTTCCAAATGACTGCCGGAATGATGGAAAGAGGGGGAAAGGCAAAGAGGAGATCCCTGGGCCATCTGCTCCGAAGAGCATTGGTCCCCTCCGCTCCTTGACAAGGAAACCTGGTGAAAAGTCTGTTTGAGCGTTTTGGAGGGTGGCAAATAGATCTACTACCGGAGTCCCAAACCTGAGGGAAAGTTCCTTGAATAGTGACAGATGAAGGCGCCATTCTGCGTGGTTGACCGAGCTCCAACTCAGCCAGTCGGCTTGGGAGTTGTCGACACCAGAGATGTGGTCTGCCGAGATGGACAGCAAATGTCTCTTCACCCACAGCCCCAAACATTTGGCCTCCCACATCAGGGCCCTGGATCTCATCCCCCCGTCTGTTGACGTGTGCCTTTGCGGCCATGTTGTCCGTCAACACTAGTACATGAGATCCCGTCGCAGTGTCCCTGAAGTGCCTCAGTGCCAGAAAGATGGCTCTGAGCTCCAGCCAGTTTATTGGACGGGTCCTGTCTATCCGGAACCAACTCCCCTGTGCTATTTGGCCGTTTATATGGGCCCCCCAACCCAGAACACAGCAGCAGGAATCGTGGAAGCGTTTCAGCTGCTTCTCGGGTGGGGGAACCGCCTCCGTAACTTCCACGGTTCCCACCGCTGCTGCCGCTGTTATTGGAGACGGCGCTGGCGAGAGAGGGACAACTGCAACTCGGCCTGGGCTCTTGGAATGCAGGAATGGGCTGTGCACCGGGACTTTTGCAAACTTGCAGAGCCCGAGGCTGGAGCACCAAGGGTAGCAGCAGCAGAGACACTCACTCGGTTCTTCTCACGCCCACCCAGCTGCTCGGGATTAAACCAAAACGCAGTACGCGGCGCTCCCAGGTACCTCAAAATCTTTTTTTTTTCCTGTTGTTACGGGGACGGGGGGAAAGCGGGAGCAACTCAGACGCTGTTGTTGGAGACGGCACTGGCGAGAGAGGTGCCAGCACCGGTGGGAACTGTGGAAACTACGGAGGCCTGAGAAGCGGCTGAAACACTGCCGGACATCCACGCCAACGCCGCCCGCCTGCTGACACGGGTAAGGGATGGGTAAGGGAGCCCTCTATGCTCCACCATGATTGGCCATTAGGAGTGGCTGGTGGCGAGGCATAGCTGCCCGCGGGGCACTCCTAATGGCAAGTTCCCCCCGCCTCCCCCCCAATTTCGCATGTTTTAAACTAGGCCTAAATTTGGGGAGAGGGGCCTAGAAAACATGCTGGGTCTTCCTATTGGGGGGGCATATTGTTGGAGAAACACGGTAACATCTACCTCAGTTCCTCCATAGTAGATAAGACTATGTATATTTTCTGGTGTAGATTAGATTGAATTGAAGCTTAAATGTAGACATAAATTTTAGAACTTAGAAATATGTGGCATCAGAACTTGCTAATTATTATTTTAAATGTGGTATCTCTAATTTAATATATTGGATCATTTTTGTTTTTATTAAGTGTATCTATTATATAGATTTATATGATAGCAATTGACATAGGCAAGTAATAAATAACTTTAATTATTAAAAATAAGTTAAAGAATATGGAGTACGTGGAACACAACTCAAATACTAACAGCCAAACTGGCTCACCCAGTACTCAGGCCTAAAATTATAGGAAAAAGCAAAGTTTCTAATGTCTTACAGAAACTCAGAAAAGCCAGCACCATTCAAATCTTGGGTTATATGATGTTCCATAGGGCAGAGCATATCATTTTCCGTGAACATGATAGAAGACATGCCTCCTGTCTCCCATTAGATGACATCTCTTAATGGAGGGCATCTGTAGCATGCTCAGCCTGACAGAATTCATTCACAATAACATTTTTTATGCTTATCATTTTTGTCACCTAGCCTTTTCTTTTTTTTTGAAACAAATTTTGTTAATTTTTAAAGACAAACAAAGCATCATTAGACATTAAAGACATTAAACCTCTTTCCATTATAAATTTTTACAAGGCAGATAAAACATTGTTTTATACAATATAGTTCTGATATATCCCATTTCCACTTAAATATCTTTTAGCAGATTTCTCATTATTTCTCTTTGCTCTTATTCAATTACATTTCTTCTATATTTATCCATTTTATAATCATCATATTCATATTTCCCTCTGTCTTGTTTACAATTATTCTCCTCTCGCTTTCCTCCAAGGTTTTATTAAATCTCAAACGGACATACACACACAAAACACAAAAACATAAAACTTCTTTTTAGAAAGTAGCTTGGCCCCGGATTACCTCTCTTTGTATGGACTTCAATTAAATTCATGTTCAACTTATATGCCATTACCTATCTTATTTACCATTCTATATCTTCATTATAACTTCTCCCCGCTTTCCACTCTTCTTAATTCTATTTTATTTATTTCATCTTAATTTAAATCATTATATTTGTATCTTTTGTCCATTCTTTTCCAATTATCCATTTATCTCATTCCCTATAATAGAAAAAAAAAAAGATTTCTCCTGAAATCACTAATCGAAGTATGATGCCTTTCCATCGCTCCCCTAAATTAACATTTAAGGTAACACCTAGTTCCCTATCTGATTCTGCTTAGTACATTCTACCTACTAAGTTTTTAAAAAAGAAAAAAAATAGTAAATCCATAAAGTAATTAAATATATAATTAAACATTAAATCCCATAACATTCCAATTATCTATTTCAAAAACAAATACCACAATAATAAGTTCATACTAACATCCACACAATAGTCAATTAAACTCTATACTTAAACTAAATATTTTAAACATTCCTTTTAATATTTTATTAAATCTTAAAATCTATCATTATTAAACCTTTAATGTTTTTACTACAATACTATCTTATGTACCTTGCAGAATCCTTTTGCTTGTTTCATACCTTTGTGGCTTTTCCCCCCCTTCTTCCTTCCTATCTTATCCCATCTGGTCTTTTTATCCCCCTTAGCTTCCCCTCTCTGTTGTATTTCTCTTTTCTTTTGCTTTCTAACATTGTATTGATTTTGCATCTTATTTTTCTCTTTCTTGGATGTTTTTTTAAGTCTTATGTCCTTTTTCCTTCCTCTCTTTCTCCTTCCTTTCTTAATCAACTTTGTAGACTCGTTAAAGATGGCTTCTTCTTCTTCTTCTGCTTCCTCCATCAATTGTTGTGTTTGCTGATAAGTGGCAAGCGCCATTTCTAAAAAGCGAAAAATTTCTCTCACAGTGTCTTTACCTTCTTTCTTTATTTTACCATATTCCTCTCTCAGTTCATCAACAGATAAAGCCATTATAAACCTTTTCTTCTTCTTTTTTCTCTTCTTCTTCTTCTTAAAACAACCAAGATAATTCAAAGCTTGGAACAATTCCCCAAAATCCCAAAGTCATCAAACAATCCAAACAGAGCACAAAGTTCTTCCCTTCACACTTTTCCTTCCTCCTCCAACAAAATCTTAATATAAATTATTCTTTTGTCCTCTCCCTTCCCACTTGTAACAAAAAGCTTTAAATTTTTACCTTCTATAAAATAGCAGGGTTTTCAATGTCCATTTGTTAATTCCATATGGAAGGAGAGTAAACTTTCTCTTTCAGCACTTTCACTCGCCGTTTATAAATCTCTTCTGGAAACAAAGTATCTTTCAAAAAATCAGGATTTTCAGGATATTAAATGTATCTTATAGTCCCAGTTCAGCTAAAAAACTTTCGCTTCAAAACTTTCTCCTTCTTCCTCCAGCACAATCTTATCCAGCTGCCGGCTTCTTTGTGGCGGCCATTACTGACCACCGCTCCACCGCCTTGAGAAAAGGGGGCTATGCCGGGTGGGTAAGGGGTCTGCGAAAACCCCAAACCCCTGTCCGGGTCCCCCCTATCTTCGGCTGCCTCTACGGGGCAGCCTTATCCTCCAGACCCATCGGGATCGGAGGCACCAAGACGGCTAGCGCAACAGGGATCGCGGAGATCGCGAAACCCCGCCGCCACCGAAGCCTGGCAAAACCGGGCACCTAGCCTTTTCTAATGCTTTATCTGATTAAGTTTATATACTGAAGCAAATAAGATCATGTTTTCCAGTAAAGCTTATAGCAATAAGTAATTGTTTATTATGAGAGTTATCCTGATTTTCTAAGAAGTGTATTTGACTTGTAATGTGAAAGTATAACTGCCACCTTCAACTTTATTGCTTGCAAAGCAAACATCTGCATCCAACTTGATTCTAATTAAATGAGATTATAGGTATTGAAATATTACAAAATGACAAGATATTTTGCATTTTGTGAGTTAAAATTTAGATAATATCTATGAAGAGAGAGAAGCAATTCTACTTATACTGAACCATTTATGCAAAGACAAAATAGTTCCAATAGGGAATATATTGCTTTTCAAATTCAAATGTTTCCATTCTGAATAGAATAGAATAGAATGGAATGGAATGGAATGGAATGGAATAGAATAGAATTTTTTATTGGCCAAGTGTGATTGGACACACAAGGAATTTGTCTTGGTGCAAATGCTTTCAGTATACATAAAAGAAAAGATACATTCGTCAAGAGTCAAATCATACTAGGAAACAGTCAATATAAATCATAAGGATACAAGCGACAAAGTTACAGTCGTAGAGTCACAAGTGGGAGGGGATGGATGATAAGGAGTGATGAGAAGATTAATAGTAATAATAATGCATTATAGGATCAAATAAAATCCTTTCCATTATTCCCAGTGGTGGTATTGGACCGGTTTGGCCCAGTTCTGG